AAACATTAAAATTCTGATTTGTGGTAGGCTACAGTAGGTTTACTGTTTCACTTTCTACACACTTTCTACTAAAACATCAATAGAAATGTTGACACTAGAAAGACAGACAACAGAAATGCATTGAATGTGTGAATTGTCACATATGTGAGTGCAGCGTTATTGAATGAGCATTTAAAAATGATGTGCTTTTTGTGTCAATGCTGTTAATTTTAGTATAGTAATATTATGATTTACAAAGAGTCAAAACTTTGTTTTTGTAAGGCTCTGGTCTCTTCAAAGATGGAATATGGAGGACATCTGCTTCACTTACATAAATGCTTAAATGTGTAGATTGTTTAAAAATAACTAAGTTAACTGATGTATTGATTTGGGCAAATCTGCTTTTTCCACACAGAAATTCATGTTCAGTGAAGCTCCTCCCACAACAATCACACATTCAACAGTTCACCAATGAATGCTGGAATATCTCCATCAGTTTGCAAGAGAAGACGAGCATCTAATCATCAGGAAGAGCTGAAATCTGTAAAGACTGAGTTTATTAAAGAGGACAGAGAGAAGATGAGAGATCCAGAGCCCTGCAGAATCAAACATACTGAAGATACTGAAGAACTAACGGGTTGGTGTTTATTCTTCATTCTTCATTCATCAACAAAATTTCTGTTAGATAATAGTGTAGCTGATCCAACATATTTAATATTTTCCCCTAAATAAACATGGAATTTGTGTCTATAATGTTTTAAAAATTATAATTTGAAGATCAATGTACTTCCTTCATGGAACGTTACAGAGGTGTATAAAAAATACAATAATGACTAAAATTTTGTTTAGCAATTGTCTACATTTTTTTTTTTACATCAAGGTTCATCAGGGTTACTGAGAGTTACTGAAAATCAACCATTTTTACTTTTATTTTAGAGTTGATTGAAGAAAACGAAGAGAATGAAGAATTTAGTGAAATTGATAAGAATAATCATGTCAAAACTGGAGAACAACATTTGAGTTGCTCTCAAACCAAACAGAAAGATTTAATGAAAAGAGGAGCCAAGAAATCTTTCACCTGCACTCAGTGTGGAAAGAGTTTCACATACAAACAT